CATGCAAATAAAAACAAATGAAATTTTAAATCTATATAAAAAGAGATTGACTGATTTGGGTGTTTTTTTTTTTTTTTTTAGCTTATCAACCTTTTGCAGGTTATTTGAAAGCCAGAAAAATATTTTTACATTGTAAGAATGTTTTTGGAGATGATGATTTACTGATACAAGTCCTACTAATTAAACGATAACTGAGGAGAGGTAAATTCATATCTTTTCCAAGGTCATTTGTACATAAGTCAATATAACTAACCTGACTGAAATTGAAACTTGGCTCTTATCCATTACACCACCCATGCATCTAAGTTGACAACACCTGGTATTCCAGGAGAATATAAAAAGAGAGCTAATATTAATTATGCTTGCTTGTGTTTTCTTAACAGGATATTTGAAGTTGAAAATAAATATACTATATTTTTTGGAGTATAAGATGCATCTTTATTGATCCAGAAGGCCTATTCAAATCTCAAGAGATTTTTTCTTCAATTTTTTATAATCAAAATTTCAAATGAATGAACATAAACTTAATAAAAAAAATATCCTAGAGTCTTTTATATTTTCCTCATAGTTTTCTGTGATCTTAATCTTGCTATTATTCTGACTATCATTAAACAAGTTTAAAATATATTCTTAAAATGTACTCAAGTTTAATATATTTAGATTTAATTTAACAGTGCACAAGACAGATAAAAAAAACAAAAAACAGTTTAATGTACTTTAATTATTTCGAATTACTGTTTTGACCTAATGGGTGCTATTTTAGACATGACGTTTCAGCTAAATACTCTCTGGTCATCTTCAGGTGTCCAACAATTTGGCTGATACGGGATATCTGTTGATTATTATTTTATTTTGTTACTGTGAAGGCTGTTATTGCTTATTCTCTCCAAACCAGTGCTTCACTCTGATTTAGGATGATAGTAACACACTTAACCAACTCCTATATGCACTATACTGCTGTTCCAAAGGATACCATTGGTTATTTTTTAGAGCATTTATATTCAGAGTCAGATGGTTATCGTAGCAGGTTCATACGGATTTCTGATAATTTCATATTTCATTCCTGAGATGATGAATTGTCAATAGATTTTGAACTGTTGTACACCTCTTTGTTGTTATAGATTTTATTTTCATTTTGCAATAAATGCAAATTGAAAATGTTGATTGGATCTTCATGGAGAAAACATTGTGTAAGAGTTGCCATCTAATTTTGCCTTATCTCATGAAGAATTTGATTGTTCAATCAATATAAGTGATTCCGGTTGAACATGTCATCTGTCCCTAATGTCATTTAAAATATGCTTTCCAACAGCAATTCATTTCCTTGGCATACTGATATCAATTTGAGATTGTCATCTCTGAAAATCTTGCAGACAATCTGACATATTTTTACTGGCATTCCTACAAGCAAACTTTCAAAATAGATATATGAAGAAGATGCTAAAAAGTTCTCAGCCCAACCAAAAGGATTCTCAAAGAATTCTGAGGTTTGGTTATTTGATCAGATTTTGAAAAGTAGATTGGGCCAAGCATTCCTTGCAGATATCCACAGTAACAAAAGCAAAAAGCTTGAAAGGAAACTCCCATCAGTATTAGTGTTATGGTCCAGGTTAGGACCAAGGAAAAACAACACGAACACAAGAATAGAAATAACGAAGGTATATTACACGAAATAATAATACAAGATGTGGAAGGTGTTAGTATGACTGTCAGTCTGGTTTGGAGTGAACTACTATCAGCTCGACTCGATTCGTCCCTCTCTCTTGAGAGGCGTAGTATACATAGTGTTAGGAAGAGTTCATTCTGTAGTTATAGGTAAGGACCCATGACAATTAGAAAGAGCTATAACAATTAGTGGACTTGAAAAATCTAATATCCTGCAAAACCATTTTAAGAAAAAAAAAAAAGCATTATAAATTCCAACTAATGGCAGCACTTTTAGATCAATACCTGGTTAATTTTATCCTTACCAGTATTATCTTACTTATTATAAAACGCAGGTTGTGTGTGTGTGTGTGTGTCTGTAACGTTTATATGTTGGATCGAATTTCCTACATCTTCACAGAACTATATAAAATTACCTTTTGGTGGTTCTAACGGCGCCGAAAATGGGAAAAACACAGTTGTTTTTTAAGAAAATCAATTTGAAAACACGATTAAGACACATCGAGAATGAAAGGGGAAACAACTCACCCACGAAAATGTAAACAAAAGAGCATAGCATGATGAAAAAGACGCAACTTGACGAAAACAAAATTTTATCGTCTAATGTTCATATTATTATTATTAAAGAGGAAAGATCAAAGTATTTTTGGAGTATTTTTTTTTACATTTTTAATCGTTCCTAGCACGTCTGAAATTTTCGTTAAAAATAGTTTTTTTTTTGGTCAAAAAAAAGGACAGATAATCAATCATTTTTAATCATTTTTTTTAAGTTTGATAAAAAAGATTAAAATCTTACTTTGATATTCTTTTCAAAAATCAATTATCATTTTTTCAAAACTGATTTTAATAAAAACAGATATTATACTGTTTATTTAAAATATTTTGAACCAAGCTTAACTTAGCTTCTACGCCTAAAAAAATGTAATTTGAAAATAAAAACAAAGCAGGTCATAACCTTTTGCGCGTTGACGAAAGGCACATTCATGACGTTTAGATAACTTACGGAGGGTAATTCTTTCTCACGGATGGAAGGAAGTGAAATTATTTAAGTGAACAAATTATTTACCTCGTTACTTTTAAGGAAAACTTTCAGCCTAATTTTTTATTTTTTATTTTTTTGTACTTAGCTTTCATTTTTTTACGTTTATTTATGCTTTAAGGAAAATATAAAGAAATTAAAAAATAAGACTGTTAATAGTGAGATTAAATTTCATAAGAAAAAAGGTATCTAATTGATTTAGGTACCTTTCTTATGAAATTTTATCAGAAGTGTACATAAAATACTATAATTTTATGTACATTTATTACATTTTACTGTGTTATTTGTATTTCCATTCATTTTATTATTAATTTTGATATTTCATTTATGGAAAAATGTCATAACTGAGATTAATATAAAATAAGATCATATAAATTAAAATTTAGCAGTAGTTAAATTTCATAAGATGATACTGTTACTTGTAGGTACCCTTCTCAGTTGAAATTGAAAACTCAAATTAACTTCTCCATACGTGTTTCACAAAAAGTAAAGGGCTTAACAGCGGAGAACAATGCTGAACTCAAATAATGCAACTAAATTGTATTCTGGTTGGTCTTCCGTACTTGATAATAATTACTGTCCGACTATAAACACAAAAATTACATTTCTTAATTACCATGGCTAATCTGATTGGTCCAAATTATACAATTTTCAAAGCTTAGACAATGACAATCTCACACGGACATTTTGAAAGGTTGATGTTGCATTTAACTAATGTTAAAATATTTTTTAAAACTCAATTTAAACATCTTTTAAAAATCTTTTTAAAATTAAAGAAATAAGAAATAATTGTATTAAAAATTCAATTTTCATTGAAAAAAATTTTTGCTTCCAGAAAATATTGTCCATATTCATAAAAAAAAACAAATTAAAACAAATAAAAGCATTTGAAACTAAATAATATATTTGTTTTATTGAGTTTTGTATGTTACAATTCACAGCTGATTTTCAGGCACGTTGGCCAAAAAAAAAAAAAAAAAAAAAAAATACAAGATTTGCATTCTTCAAAGCCTTGTGCTTTTAACTATTGTAATCACTAAAACCAATGGTCTCAATTTCTAGAGTTTTTCATAAAATTAGTTATGGGGGTGTTAATAAATATCAAAAAAAATATTTCTGCCATGACTTTAATAAAAAAAAAAACATTTTATAATAATTTCTGAATAGTTTCTGAAAGTTTCATTAACATCTGACAATTATTTTTATTTTTTGCAAGATTTTCCAAATTAATATGTGTAAATACAAAAAACGCGCAAAATTATCTATGTTATTTACTACCTCTTGTTGCGACAAAGAGAAACAAGGTTTTTTAAATTAAAATTTAGAATATTCTAAAAAGATGGAAAAATTTTAAAAAATAATTAAAAAAATATTTAGTCTATCCTCTTCATAAAAACAAGCATTTTGATGATAAAATTTTGTTTTCATAAACTTTAGCGTCTTTTTCATCAGACTATGCTCTATGTTTTAGCGATTCCGTGGAGTGACTTAGGTTAAAAAACCCAGGTTGTTTGTGTGTATGTGTGTTCCTTTATATATGGGATCGGATTTCTTACATTTTTTAGCCGATAAAACAAACATCCACTTTTTGGGGGTGCAGGTAGTATTTCTTATTGTCTTGCACACTTTTTTCTTTATTTACATTCAGAAAGCTTTAAAAATTCCATTTACAAGACAATTGTTTATAATAAAATTCTATTCACCAATCGATAGACTCATAATGATTGTAAACAATGTTTTTGTTTGAGTTTGGGTTTGACCAATTCGTAAAAAAAAAAAAAAAAACTAATTCAGACATGCGTGTCCGTCAACCTTAAACAATAATCTTTGTCAATTTTATTTTTCAGTCTTTATGATGGTCGATACTTGATCTATCTCTTACTGTTACATCCCCGGGCAATGCCAGGCTTTACTGCTAGTATTTAATATGATGAGCATCTTCTCAATTTAAATTTACAGGTATAATTGCGTATTACATACACAAATTACTAACAGTGAAGCAGTATTGCCAGGGTGTTTTTTTTTTTATGGATTCATTTTCTACAGCTTATCAACAATTTGTAGGTTATTTAAAACCAGAAAATACTTTTAGATTGTAAGAATTTTTAATTTTTCTTTGTGGGGAGGGAATAATAATAATTTAATGATACAGGTCTTATTAATTAACCCATAGCTGAGGGAAGAAGAGGATGATTCATACCTTTCCCCAAGAGTATGTGTACGTAATAAACAAAATGGGAATTGAAATTCGGCTCTTTGATGAACAATTATCCATTATATCACCTGCACATCCAAGCTTACAGAACCTGGTATTCTTGAGGGGTCACCCTTTTAGATAATGACCAGGCACAACATTGCTTAACTTCAGTGATTGTATGGGAACGAGTGTTTCCACACTACATGGCCACAAACCTGGACAGAGTATAAATTGCTTTCAAGATCAGTATTCTTTGTTCGATTATCTTGTCTTTCTTGTAATATATATATATATATATATATATATATATATATATATATAAAAAAATGGTGTTATGTATTTTTTATTATATATATATATATATATAAATAACAGGATTTTCCCAACCATGCGACAACAAAAGGAGCTTCTGTTGTAACCATATTAGACATACCAATTCATTCACTAGCTCAATCACTAAATCTACTTTCAAAATCTACCACAACTTTAACTGTAGAAGTCATGACATAATTTACCTATTATAATGCACACAATATGTGGGAAAATCTGAATGGCCCTTTCACTACAGACTTAATAATTATCAGAATTGGATCAAATCAGCTCTCCACAAAAGATTATCTGTAGAACAACATTTCCAGCTAGAAAAATATGATTTTAAAAGCCATGAAAAATTCACTATAATTGAAAAAGTAGAAATAGACAGAAAAGATAACCTTAGAAAAATACTAGAGGAACATGAAGACCAACGGATTTTGCACCTCAACACACTTCATCCAGATGGGCTTAACCACAAATATTACAACATAGACAGAATTAATATATAACCCCCTAAATCAGGCCCTATCCACATAAGACAGACATGCTTGCAGATGTTGAGATCTCATACTAATAGATTATACACACACACACACACACATCATCATGCACACTCTCAAAGAACTAAAAGATAATATACACTTAACACACACATCCCATTCCCCACAACCAATAAAACTGTCAAAACGACCAAGGAGGTTATTTTTTAAAGCCAAGAATCTTCCATCCTCTATCTTAAAAACAACTTAAAAGAGGCCGTTTGATCAACACAAGGACTGACCAAAATTAATGATAAAAAACAAATGAAAACTACAGATAAGTTTACTTTCTTCAGAAAGTCATTCGCTCATGTTGTTCACTGCTACTAACAAGTAGAGATTTTTTTTCTCTTGATGATGGCTATGCAGGCTGAAACTAGTCGAGAAACCTAATTGAAATAAAACCCAAAAATATTAATATACAACCCAGTGTGTCTGAAAATTTTGATTTTTTAATATTTTCTTATTGTTCAAAACACACACACACATATTATATATATATATATATATATATATATATATATATTAAGTGTGTATATATTAATATATACATAATAGCTCTGCTATTTAGCATTAAGCACTGTTTTTCTTACACCAAAGGAAACGATATATGTATGTATATGAAGACTTATACATTTATTTATATTTATTCATTAGATTTATATATATATATATATATATATATATATATGTATATATATATCAAATATAAATTAGTTACAAATGAATTATTCATTCATACAAAAAGTAAATTAGTAAAGTTAATGATATAAAATGCTGAAATCCCTTCGCTAACAAAATCTTAAAGATGCATTAACCCACTAATCACTTGATGAATGTTATGATCCTTGTTTTTTAAAATTATAAACTGTATTAGGTCTTCCTTAAATATACAAGTACTTTCAACAAGTCCTCCAGTCATTTATTTGATATTTGTTAATGATATAACATTAACTTTACTAATTTACTTTTTGTATGAATGATTCATTGTAGTGTGTGTGTATATATATATATATATATATATATATATATATATATAAAGAAAATTTTTTTTGTATTGAGTAGATGGAACATCTTTATGGCAATGTACTGGACATGACAGTTCCAAAACTTACAGTTTTTGTCTAAAAATCAAACTGTTACTTTTAACAAATTTATTTGAATTAGGACTTTTAGAGGTTTTTTTTGTTTTGTTTTTTTCTTTTAATGCCATGTCCAGGACATGGTCAATCATGGCTCTCCACTGATACCTTTTCCTTATCATCCATGAATTGCCATGACTTCCTGGGAAATATAATGGAGTGGCTTCCCATTACTTTCTCCAGTTTTGAAGACAAATGAGTTATTCTCTTAGACTGGCTACCATCCAAAGCGAAAAAACCAAATCTCCCCTGCTATTTAACCAGTAGCTGAAGAAAGATGAGGTGGATTGTCTGAAAGTGAATGCAACAAACAGGAAACTTGAACTTAATGCATCAATTCTGTCTCCATATCAATAACTATCACACAACCTTGACATCCCATTCTTTAGATTACAAACATTAAAATAAATAAATAAAATGAATCTAAATTCCTATTTTTAGTATTTAATATTTTTGGACTAACAAGTAACCCCAGGTCCAAATGAAGATGAAAAAGAAAAAGAAAAAGAAAAAAGAAAAAGAAAAAAGAAGAAAAAAGAAAAAGAAAAAAAAAGATCTTTTCACACATGGATATTTATTTCATAACTTCTCAGCCAATGGGAGATCAGATCAAGATATTTTTATAAAGCAAGTTCAATACGACAAAATGGCCCTGAGACATCTTAAACAGCAAATAACAAACAAACACTTTACTCATGTTGATCAATTAGAAAAAAAAAAAAAAAAAATTACAGAAAGTGAGACAGTAATTTTGCTAATGGCAAACTTAAGAAGCAGCCATGAAAGGAAGATGAAAGAAATTGCAAGAAGATTTTTTTTTATTTTCCTCTTTTAAGGAGAAGAAAGAATAAAAGGCAAATGCTGAACTAGAAAATGTTAAATTGACGCCAACAACTGGCTTGGATCATTAATGAAAGTTTTCCTTTCCTTGCATCATAAAATAACAAATCAATTTAAAGCAGATTCCAAGATCAAGCTGAGGCATATTTACACTTAGCACCAATTTGGGATAAATTTGATTATCACATAATTTTAGCTATGCAATCAGTGGATACATTTAATGTTCACTTCTTATGCGAAAATATGATCTTGCCCAATACTGAGCATCAAAAACTGATTGAAATATCTTAAAATAAGCATTATCCAATATTCTTTCCAAAAGAAACAAAAAGGATGCTATAACAGAGGATTGAAATTAAAATCTCTGCTAATATAAGAAAATCAAGCAAAACACTCAATTTTATTTTATTATTATTCATATGTGAATAAAATTATCGAACCTGTATAAACTGTTTTTCAATCATTAACATGTTAGTTAAGCAAAATTTAACACTTTAGCATTCAACATGCTCAAACCTGCCCTGTAAATATCAGGGGTCAAAATCTCACTGTTTGCCTGACTTATTGCGTTATTTGTGATGATGATGTCATATATTATGGCAAGGTATACATGGGGCAAGGTTACAGTGTGTTGAACATTAAGAGCTGATATTTATGGAGCAGGTTTGGGTTGGTTGAATGCTAAAGGGTTAAATAGCAGAAAAGTATTTAATAAGTGGATTGGGTGCATCAAGTAAAAAGATGGAAATTCATAAAAATGAGTTTCAAATTCTTAAAAACAATAACTTTAAAAGAAAGTAAATACATCAGCCATGTTGTCGCAAGATAAAGACAATGATAATCAGCTCCATTCAAACTCTTCAAATTTTTTTTCTTCTTTTAATTGGGTGTGAGGCAAATTCACCATTTTTGAAATACCTCAAAGGGGGCTGATCATGTGACATCTAAATTTGGACCAAAGTTGTCAGCATCTTGACAGAAAATAAAGGTTTCTTTCATGGTGAAATAAACAAGAACACACTGAGATAAATCAGTAAATGATGCTTTTCGTCGGAATTTTTGGGATGGCCTAGTGGTTTAAAGCATTGGTTTGTGAATTTGATGACATGGTGATTGCGAGTTCAGTCCCTGGGTCAGAGGGTGTGTACTTGGATAAGCAATACATGAGCAGTACTATAAAGAAGAACTAGACAATATCCCTAAACATGAGCAGTCTACCGTGGGAGATTAAAGAGTTCAGTTGAAAATTCCCTGTAAGTTATCTAAATCAATATACACCTGAGGAAAGCCAGAGGGCACAACAGCTGAAAAGTTGTGATGACAACAACAAAGATGAGGACAACAGTCCGAATATAAATAATGTAAAAAATTATGCATTTTTTAAAATGGACATTGAAATCCCCAACCTTGAAATCTCATACTGAAGCAGATGTTGATTTTAAATTATTTATCCACATCATAACTCAATTACCTTGGCAATAAATCATATGGTAATAATTGGCCACAAGGGAATAAAATAAACAAAAACAGTAGCCAAGTTGGCAAATCTACCGAATCAAAAAGGTTTATCTGGTAGTCAAACATGAGGAAGGCACACTGCCAATGATTAAGCTGCTAAATGTTTAAAACAAAAGAATGCCATAAAAAGAAACGAAATTAGAAAGAATGAAGAATAAGACAAAAAAACTTAGAGAACATTTGCACTGCTGAACAATTAAAATTATGAAAAGGTGCTTGATTAAAGAAACTACAAATCATTTTAAACCTTTTCATGCAGAAAAAAATTAATTTGATAATAATGAAATGTAAAACTAAATCAACAACAAAATCTAGAAATGAGGGAAAATTTTTTTGTAAATTTTAAATACTTAAACTGAAAGTGGCCTTGAAAAAAAAAAAAGAAAGGAAAAAAAAAAAAGAAAGGAAAAAAAAAGAAAGGAAAAAAAAAAGAAAAGGAAAAAAAAGAAAGAAAAATAAAGAAAAGAAAAAAAAAAAAGGAAAAAAAAAAAAAAAAAAAGAAAAAAAAGAAAAGGAAAAATAAAAAAGGAAAAATAAAAGAAAAAAAATAAAAGAAAAAGGAAAATAAAAAAGGAAAAAAGGAAAAAGAAAAAAAAGGAAAAAGAGAGAAAAGGAAAAAGAAAAAAGGAAAAAAGAGAAAAGGGAAAAAAGAGAAAAAGGAAAAAGAGAAAAAGGAAAAAGAGAAAAAGGAAAAAGAGAAAAAGGAAAAAGAGAAAAAGGAAAAAGAGAAAAAGGAAAAAGAGAAAAAGGAAAAAGAGAAAAAGGAAAAAGAGAAAAAAGAAAAAGAGAAAAAAGGAAAAAGAAAAATGAGAAAAAGTAAAAAGGGAGAAGAGTAACGGAGAAAAGATGGGAAAAAAA